TCATGATTATAATAAGATTTTCAGTTAAATTTCTGGTATTATTTTAGTTCAGTAAATTCATGTCCGATCAATTCATGTTAAGTCAGTTCCGGTTATTTCGGTTAAGTCTAAATATCATGTCAGGTTAAGTAGAGCATCTTAACGAAATTAATCAGTTAAGTTAACAATCTGAGCATAGTCATTAGTAATTGTTTATATTATTTTCAGTTTGATCAGGCATCAGCACTACCGATCAGTTTCAGCAGTTCAGGTGGGGACTCAGACTAAGTACTACATTGATTATAATTACGGTACCATGTTTGAGGTATGTATTTCAGTTGAGTATCCGCTCGGAATGGTTGCCGGTCCATTCTGGGTTCTAGTGGCCCTAGTCTGCCCACTAGAGTGTGCACATGGTGTCCAGCTTTGCCGGCAGATGAGGTAACGGTCAGGGTCACGGTTGCGTGACGATTTCAGGGTCACGGTTGCGTGACGATTTCAGATTCATGTTCATGTTATTATCGGCTTGAGGTTGAGGTTATGTATATACTGATATCATGATGTTGTTATTATTTTCAATGTTTACATTAGTATGAGTTTCCACGGAGCACAGTGCCATAGTGCTCATTTCCCACTTTTATCATGTTTTTCAGGTCAGGATGTCGGGCCGGGAGCGTGACGTGACGGAGGCTTCAGGACATTTGTATTTTGACTGTATATTTATGATGATGACTTACGCTTCCGCTAATGATGTTTTGTTGACTTATGACCATGTTTTGATGACTTTGACGTACTCGTATTTTGACGAACTTATCTTTTGACGAACTTTTGGGAAACTTATGCTTTCAGTAACCTGATGATTTTCTTAAAAATTTAATAACGGTTTTCCAAATTAAGTCACGATTTTAAGGTAGCACCCCGAATCAGTTTTCGCAAAGTAAAAAGGCTTTATTTTTAAATAACTTTGCGAATTTTTCGCACTCGGATTTAACGATAAGGAGGGGTGTTACAATAGCGTTTCGAAGCAAAATCGTATACAT